TTAATGAATAGAATGATTTGTTCTAATGGTGTTTGTAAGTAGGATCACAAGTCCGCATCTTGTACAGCCATTAACCACTACGAAGAATATATGCAGTGTATTATTTGTTGAAAAAAAATCAATAAAAAAAAAACAAAAAAAACAATACAAAAAACAAATGTTGGAGAGGCTGTGGGGGAAAAAGGTGCCCTTGTCCACTCCTGGTGAGAATGTAGACTGGTGGAACCATTAAGGAAAACAGTATGGAGACTCCTTAGAAATATTGGATTGGAAATCCCATTTAAAGCAGCTATTCCTCTAGTGGGAATTTTCCTAGAGGATCTGAAAACATCACATCATAGTGATATATGTGTGCCTATGTTTATAGCAGCACAATTTGTGATAGCCAAATCTTGGAAACAACGAAGATGCCCAACACCTGAGGAATGGTTGAAAAAGATGTGGTATTTTTAAGCAATGGAGTATTTTTCAGCTATTAAGAATGATAAACTGAAAGCCTTTATATTGAAGTGGATGCCACTTGAACATATACTCATAAGTGAAATAAACCAGACACATATGTGTCAATATGGTATAGTCTCCCTAGTATAAGAACTCAAAAGAAGAAATACAATTTCAGAAGTATAATACAAGTAAAAGGTAAACAGGTTCTCAAGGACTAACTAATCAAGAGAGGGAAAGAAGAGTTAGGAAACATGACTATGTGAAGCCATACAGTTATATGTAAAATATGGGCAAGGCAATGATCCTGAGAATCTCCAGAAGATTATTTCAATCTAGAAGTTATTTGGAAAGATTCTCACCCGGACTAACTATGTGTAATGATACCTGTAAACTAAGCAACTGCACTGCAGATGGTAACTGTAGTTTCATGCTTGGAGTGCCTGTCATTCTGGTCTTCAGAATTCAGGCTGCTTGTCATGACATGCCAGTTGCTGTTCTGAAGTGTCTCGGGTAGATCGTTGTTTAAAAAGAAGGGGGTCATGAACGAAAGCAACAGACAGGAAAAGCTATATTGTTTGACTCTCCTGCTTCAAGGTTGTATATGGCAAGACTTTTGGACTTATGTGTAAACATAAGAAGTACATAATTCTTTATGCCTATTTTAAAATATGTTCTAATTTATAAATGTTTCTTTATGATATTCTGTAGGGACTTGAAGTTCAACATATCAATACTTGATGAAATATCCCTGTTCCATATTATGCCTAAGATGTTTGATATGCAGGCAGGTAGTGAGGTGAAGCTCAACAGACTAAGTTCTATGGTAATAACAATAAGCTTGTCTTCTGCATGGTTAACAACCTATGTTTGCAGAGCAAAATTAGATGAAAAGGAGGTCTGCAAGGAAAGCCAACGTTTTGACCCTAACCTTCCAACGTCAATTAAGACTCAGGACATATTAGAGCTTGTACTGTAACGTCATGAACTCTGCAGTTTCCCAAATTTTCTGGTCAAAGAGATTATGGGGCTTGAGAGGAAAGTGATGGATGATATAGAGTGTGCCTAAGGAGAGTCACATGGAGAGAAAACATTCTCACCTGCTTTCACAGTGAGCACATTGTTCAAGCAATGGCAAAGACTCATCGACATGACTGACACTGACAAACAATCTGAGGTACAGGATCTCAGGATAAATCCTTAGGGAATTTCACTGACCTTATCAGACCCAAAAGCTACAACTTTTGTTGCATAGATCCTGCTTTATCTTGGTCTTAACCTTCCAGGAGAAATGTATAAAAATGAAATATAGGAAGGAAAGCCATGTTGTTTTGTTCAGCTGTAGGGGACTCAGGTCAGCTATTTCTGACATTGCCAGTGATGTGGAAGACCCAATAGTATTATGGACTACTGAACTCTTTTAGAATATTTTGCTGAGTTAACACACCTATAATATTCAAATAACGGAACTAAAGAAAAAAAGGGGATACAGATGAATGTCTATTTTGTATCTGTGTGTTCAAAGTTGCTAGGATAGATATATAGTTACATTCTCTTAATGAATAGAGTGATTTATTCTAATGGTATTTGTAGATAGGATATTATGTTGGCATCTTATACAGCAATTAAACACTGGGAGGAATGTATGCATTAAGTTAATTACTGAAACTGTCCTACCAATTTGATTTGAAAAAAAAAGGTGATCAGCCTAAGACTAATAGGCATCACTGAGAAAGAAGAAGTCCATATAAATGACATAAAAAGAATGCAGGTGAAAGTAATAGCAGAAACTTCCCAATTATTGGGAAAAAATTAGACATTCAGGTAACTGAAGCATATAAAACTCCAAATAACAACACAATTAAAACCACGCCCACACATTTAATAATCGAGATCCCAGAAATTCAGCACAGGAATAGTATACTAAAACCTTGTAGAGAAAAGAAACAAATCACATTGACAGGAACGCATGTTAGAATAATGGAAGATTTCTCCTTACAAACCATCAGGTCAGGAAGAGAATGGAGGTAAGTACACCAAGTCTTGCAAGAAAACAAATTCCAACCCAGACTGATATACCCTGCAAAACTCTTTCAAATGTAATGGAGAAGTGAAATACTTCCATGACAAAGAACAACTAAATAATTTCACGATGACAAAGCTAACTTTACACAGACCACTAAAAGAGATTCTAGGGAGGGATCAAAATGACCATAACTTCATGAATGAGAATGGAAACAATCCACCAAATAGGGCAAACCACTAAACAGAAGAGAAGAATAGGTACACAACAGCAGTCTTTCAATTATTCTTTTGTATATAGAAACAAAAAATGTCAATCAACATACTCTACAAATATTCTTCTCCTGCACCATATAGGGCATGATTCTGTCCAGGTCTACAGAGTGGATACCAAGGAAATAGCAATAGATCAGTCCCAAAGGTTACAACTTGGCTTCCAGTAAGCATCATGCTCACTGTGTTTGTCCACCACATACTTACTAGAACTTTGTGTGATATAATCTCCATAAATGGATAGAAGTACTAGTCGTATATTTGCTGTTCTAGTATTTATGTTATGTGTTATTCTTAGTAATTCTTTACTATCATGAAAACTTTTTCTAAATTGAATTTTCATATATTAACCTAATCAACTACTGTGTGAGTATTCTGAATTGATCACAGATTCGTACATATGATACACTAAATTCTGGTCTCTTATTTGAACTCACAATTTAATTTTAATTTTTAAATATTAAGTAATTAATATTAATGAATTTTCTGAATATTGTTTAATTTTAATCTTTGTTTTATGCTTTATCCTGTTTCTTTGACTTACAATCTACTTATAAGACATTGTATTGTATTTTTCCTAGTTTACAAAACTTTAAAAAGTGTATTTCCATTTTCCACTGACTTCATGTTAGTTCTTCCTTGGTTTTTACT